TACCTTCTGCCCTCTCTCTCTTTCTTCTTCTTCTTCTGGGATCCCAATTATTCTAATGTTGTTTCATCTTATCGTATCGCTTATCTCTAGAATTCTGCCCCGTGATCCAGTAGTTGTTTATTTCTCTTTTTCTCAGCCTCTTTATTTTCCATCATTTGGTCTTCTATATCACTGATTCTCTCTTCTGCGTCACTTATCCTAGCAGTTAGCGCCCCCACTTTTTATTGTACCTCATTAATAGCCTTTTTTATTTTGCCTTGGTTAGATTTTAGTTCTTTTCTTTCTCTAGAAAGGGTTTCTCTAATAACTTCCATGCTTTTTTTCAAGCCCAGCTCGTATCTTTAAAATCATGATTCTGAACTCTAGGTGTGACATTGTACTGAGTATTTAGTAGGTTCCTGGCAGTCAGTATGACCTCTTGTTCTTTTTGTTGAGGTGATTTTTTTCCATCTTGTCATTTTGTCCAGACGAGAATAGATGAATTAGAGAACAAAATTCTAACAGGGTAACAATGTCCCCAGAAAATATACTCTAAACAAATCAGAAAAGACCTGAAACCAGGGGGAAAGAAAGGGAAAGAAAGAAAAAGAAAAAGAACAAGATAAAAACAAACAAAAACAGAACAAAACAAAAAAAACAGAATATGCTCAAATATGATCAAATATGATCAGGCTGTGCATAGATCAGTGCCATACACTAGATTTTGGGTGTATTTTGGTCTGTTAGAAGAAAGTGCCTCCCAAAATTTTAAAGAAAGAAAAATATGTGTACAACAATAAGGGTTGATATGATGAAGGGATGGAATATGACTGTAAAGATGAAAATTATAAAAAATTTTATAAAAGGAATTGATAAGATGTTTGAAAAAAGAAAGAAGAGGATTTAAAAAAAAAGAAAAAAAACAGGGAGAGAATATGATCAGGCAGGAGAGTAGAACAAAGCCATACACTAGAGATTTAGGGTATAATTTGATCTGTTAAAAGAAACTGTATCTCAAAGTTTTTAAGAGAGAACAACTTACATATATATGCCCAAAATAAGGGTAACTACTCTGAAGGGGTAGAATATGACTCTAATAATGAAAAATAAAAATGTTTTTTAAAAAAGGGATTGATAAAATGTTGGTTGAAAAAGGGAAAAAAATTTTTAAAAAGTTAAAAAAATTAACTTTGAAAGACTAAAGAATCATGGTAAAAAAAGCCATGAATTCTATGTGCAGTATTCCCCTCGCGCTGGAGTTCTCCCGTTCTCCTTGATCGGTAAACTTGGTCTTGGTTGGCTGTTCGTGCTGATCTTCTGGGGGAGGGGCCTGTTGCCATGGTTCCCAAATGTCTTTGCAGGAGGTGGAATTGCCTCGCCCTTGTGGTCCGGGCTAAGTAATCAGCTCGGGTTTGCTCTCCGGAGCTTTTGTTCCCTGCAAGCTTTCGGTACAGCTTTGGAGGAGGAGAGTGAAAATGGTGGCTTCCCAATCTCCACCCCAGAGGAGCCATGAACTCGGGTCCCCGCTCCTCAGTGCGCCCCCAGAGAAAAGCAGTCAGTCACTCCTGTGTCCCTGGTCTCCGGCCGCACTCCGTGCTCTCCCGGCCTGTGACCGAGCGTTTCTATCTCTGGCACCCGACCCCATGTGGAGTCTCCAAACCCAGCACATCCCTGCGGTGCGCTCCCGCGCCACTCCTCCTGGGGGAGGAAGGGGAGTCTCCCCGGATCTGCCCTTGTTGGGTCCCTTCTGGAGGAGCCGTGCCCCGACTGGGCCGCAGATCACAGTTTATGGCAACCCCGAGCTGAGAGCCCGCGCCTCGGCTCCGTCTCTGCAGCCGGCTTCCCCGCTCCGATACCTGGGAGCTCTGCTGCACTCAGGCACCCCCGGTCTTTCTGTGACCCCGAGGGTCCTGAGACCACACTGTCCCGCGAGGGTGCCACCCCCCACTTAGCCACTGGAGTGACGTCCCTCAGCAGAGCTGACTTCTAAAAGTTCCGATTTTGTGCTCCGCGGCTCTAGCACTTGCCAGAAGTGGCCGACGGAGGCCCCCTCCCCCGCCGTCTATCCTCCCGAATATCGCCTCAGATTCACTTCTCCGCACGTCCTACCTTCCAGAAAGTGGTCGCCTTTCTGTTCAGAGAGTTGTTGCTATTCTTTTCTCTGATCTCCTGTTGAGTTCGTAGGTGTTCAGAATGGTTTGATCCCTATGCAGCTGAATTCCTGGGACCAGACGAAATCCAGGTCTCCTACTCCTCTGCCATCTTGCTCCCGATCTCTCCCTCCTTCACTCTTTTAACCAGAAGGAAGGAGAAAGGTCTCATGCAGGTTTGTGTAGATTTGGTGGTGCAAATATGAAAGAGTGCTTTTGGCTTCAGTTTCCTGAGAGCAGTATGAGGTCAAATTCAACAGAGAGGGTGAAGAGGGGAGTGGAGGGGGTTGTTGGTAGAGCTATGGAAGCATGGCACAGAGTGGGAAACCAAACTGTCTCTCAGGCCTTGCCAGTATCACTGCAAGAGAACATGGCAAGGCATCAAGTAAGAATACATGGGACACAATTTGGTCAGGGGGCAAGGAGCACACAGCAATCTGGATTGTAGTGAGCAGATGGGATCAGGAGCTCAGAGGTCATGATGAGGGGACACTGAACAAGTGGACTCTAAGTACAAGAGGTGTTGGGCAGAGTGGGACGCCTTTAATTCGGATTTTGGAGACAGTGCAGTTTCAGATTATAACAAGTTCAAGGGTTTCCCTTTGGGAAGGAGTCACTGAGGATCAGAGAGGTGGGCCATCCACCTGGATGCTGAAGACACCAGGAATGAAGACGCAAAAGGGGTGGCCAGGAATACTGTGAGCCAGGAACCAAATCTTCAGTGAATGGGGGAGAGGGCGGGGGGAGCCACCTGGTAGAAGTTAGATGACAGAAGTGGGTGGGTGACTAGGATCAGAAGAGCAGTGGGTACCATACCCAACTGCATCGCTTGAATGGCAGCTAGGCGTTTTGCAGGAGGAAGGGGGAGAGATGGTTTGGAAGGAGCAATGGGGAGCAAGGAAGCCACCTGCCCTATTTCCTGGCTCTGAGGGATTCAAGGTGTGAAAGAATAAGAGGCTCCTGTGTTGGGAGGTCTCCTGTGTTTCTGTTTGTATTAATTAAGGTAAGGAAAGACATGTGTGCTAATCTGGTGTTGGACTCTCTTGGTAGCACAGGTGAAGAGCTTGGGGGCGGGGGGTGGGGGTAGGGGCGCCTGGGTGGCTCAGTCATGAAGCATCTGCCTTCGGCTCAGGTCATGATCCCGGGGTCCTGGGATCGAGCCCCGCATCCGGCTCCCTGATCCGCGGGAAGCCTGCTTCTCCCTCTCCCACTCCTGCTGCTTGTGTTCCCTCTCTCTCTGTGTCTCTGTCTGTCAAATAAATAAATGAAATCTTAAAAAAAAAAAAGACTTGGGGAGCATGGCGATAAAAGGCTGGCAATAACAGATTATTGGAGAGGATCCCTGGACTTCTAGTGGTGAGTGAGTTTCACAGGACACAAAGCACATGGAAGCTCCTCATGGAGGGCCCTGAGTGGTTTTACCATGCATGTGGGGAGCAGGGAGGGTATTGAGCAGCAAATTATCATGGCCAAAGGCAAGCTTTAGGAAAATTAAATGTCCAGGTATGTGAACAAAGGAGGCCCTTAGGAAACTACTGCAGTAGGCCAGGATTAAGGTCTAGTCAGAGTAGGAATACTCGGAATGGTGGAAGGAAATGATCATTGCAAGAAAGGTGGTTGGTTTGAATTACAGATAAAGGAAATGAGGGAGCAAGTGAAAGGTGAGCCCCACTTTTCAAGCTTAAGTGGTTGGGAGAAAGGTTTTGAAGGGAAATTGACGGTTTGGTATTTGGCAAACCGCGGTTAAAGATTTAGTAGTTGCTGACCCCAAGAGTGGAGCAGGGTAATGACAGGTGAGTCAGGGGGAGCTTCCGCTGCTGTCAGGTCAAGTCTAACTGCCTGGAGTTTTCCAGATTGAGGATAATCAAGGACCAAGCGGGATCCCAGGAAGCAAGCCACTGATTTATCTGTGAGCCAGGAACCAAATCTTCAGTGAATGGGGGAGAGGGCAGGGGGAGCCACCTGGTAGAAGCAAGCTCCCTAATTTACCTTCAGATCCCCAGGGCAGAGACTGAAACTCAATCACCGTATGCAGTAAGGCACGTGTGCAGGTGTGAACGGTGAGGTGCCCAAGCCCAGGGGCTACCTCTCAGTCAGTCATTCCACAAGCCGGGGGAGCGGGGCTCTCAGTCATTCCACAAGCCGGAGGGGCGGGGCTCTCAGTCATTCCACAAGCCGGGGGGCGGGGCTCTCAGTCATTCCACAAGCCGGGGGGGCGGGGCTCTCAGTCATTCCACAAGCCGGGGGGGCGGGGCTCTCAGTCATTCCACAAGCCGGGGGGGCGGGGCTCTCAGTCATTCCACAAGCCGGGGGGGCGGGGCTCTCAGTCATTCCACAAGCCGGGGGGGCGGGGCTCTCAGTCATTCCACAAGCCGGGGGGGCGGGGCTCTCAGTCATTCCACAAG